TTTCAGCTTGTTGTTGCCTGCAAACTACTCTGAATGCAATTACGAATCATGTGATGTCTAAAGGAAGGGAGAGGGAAGAAAAACAAGACTCTTTAATAAGCTTTTCCCGCCTCCTAATACTGGTTGCGGCAGACACAAACCACATAAAAGTTTGGTATTTTTGAGAGTTATGTGTTTTTTTCCCTTTATTTCCCTGACACAGTCTTTCACAATATGGAAATATTTTTCAGTGGTTTATGTAAAGATTCTCATTCTGTTGTGTGGCTGAAGAGGCTTTCCACAGCTTAAGGGGTACAAGGTAAATTTCAAAGCAACTAGAATAAGATCCATCACACTTTATTTCTCTATCCCACTTGTAGGCTGCTTTGCATCCAAGAAACCCTCAAAGGGCTGTATATTCTGTATACATCACACATTATTTCATGCTATCTTCACTATAACCTCACGAAGTAGTTCAAGCCAAATAAAGAGAAGACTTGTCCATAGTTGCCATCTTCCATGTTTCATAAATCTCATCTGGGTGGTGGCACAACTCTATGCACTTTTGCATTTGAAAGTAATCAAGAAGGAAACCCAAATGGAGTGACCCAGGAGGACAATCTTTGCATGGAGTTCAGCAGTTCTTACTGCTTGTCCATCCTGATCATTGCAACTAACCTCCCTGTAATAGAAGAGTGAGACAAAAGCAGTCCTACAGATGTTGCTGCAACGCAGCTCCCATAAGCCTGAGCCAACGTGGCCAATGGTAAGGAATTCTGGGAACTCCAACCCAGCAACATCTGGAGGGCCAGTCATGGCTCTCTCTTGCACCATAGGAAACTTACTTGCAAGGATATGGGTCGACAGACATTAAGAACAGTTCAAATATCTCTTCAGAATGTTCTAACTGGACCAGAAGAGGAGACAGAACATTTGTCCAGAAGGTAACTCTATGAGAAAGCTGTCTGGCAGCTACACAGCTGCCTGAGTTTCATGCATGACAGCACAAAATTAAGTGGTATTAAACAAACACTTTACTTAATATTAAGAGAGCATTCCAAATGACTTGCACACTAGAAGTCTTCAGGGCTGCCAGGAGAGCAACCCAGAATTCTTAACTTCCAAGTCCTGTGACTTGCCTACAAATCTATACTTCAAAACATGAGTCTAAATGGCCAATAAACTTTCCTTATATATATACAGAAAGGGCAAACAAGCAATGATCTCGTGCTGCTTTCTAGGCACCCATCCAGGAATTTATTTATTTACCTTTCTGCTTTTAGTTCATTACTTAAGGGAGGAACTAGATGCTACATGAGACATGGAGAGACCTGCCACCACTGTCTCTATTTCCCTCTTTCACAACATGTAATGTAGCTCCACTTGTGACATGACAGTTTTGCACTCTCAGCTGCTCTGCTGTGACTCACGTCACTGGCGGCTGGTGGGAAAGCAAACAATATACAAGGTGTTGACAACTCATCACACATTTTGTGATTGTAAATGTTGGAAGGAAGGAAAGGGGTCAAGAGGGCATTTGCAGCCCAGTGACAGTGAGGCACAGTCTTTACGAGAATGATGGAGAATGATGGAGCAGGACTTTCAAGATCCGGATTCCAGTCTCCCCATGGCTGTGAAATGTTCTAAGTGAGTTCGCTGTGCACAGGTGCTCTTCCCATAACAAGCAACAGCATGACAGCACTCACACACCTTCACAACCTGTATCCAAATGATAACCACCTGAAAACACCTACACTTAATTTGGGCTTGTTGTTTAAACTTGTGAGGGATTCCTCTGGAATTTTCCCTATTACTAACCAAGGAAACAGCCGACATTCCCGTTTTCACAGATGCAACAACTGTGCCAAAGCAAAGAGTTTATTTCATAGTGTCCTTAAAAAAAAAAAAGAATGAATTTCGTTAAACTCAGTTTTGTTTACTTTGGTGATATGTCATAACACTGACCAATAGTATACAGGGGTATAATAACTTATTGTTGCCATTTATAAAATAGTTAGCAGGGTTTATAAACCAGAGTTTTATTTTAAAAAACACAACAAAATAAAAATATTCAATAGCGATGAAAATAACATGTAAGAAAAATGTTTAAAGCTGTCAGTTTCTTTAGCATATAACCATAAGCTTTACTTTTCTTCTTTTCCATTTAAATATTTTCTGTTCTTTACTTATAGAGGGAGAGAGTTAACTTGGTTTTTAAAAAGTACTAAAAAGGCATATATTTTATCCACAGACTCGTCACAAAGCAGGCAGGCTCATGATCAGACCTTTTAAAAAAAGGGAACCAAAGTTCTCTTCAAGCTTTCCATTGGTCTTTTATTTTTTTTCAAGTGGTGCAGCAAATATTTGCTGCCCTAATACACACTTTAAAAAAAACCTTTCACTTCTTCAGCTCCTCAGTGGAGCTGGGGAAGTGATTAATTTGCAAATATACTGAAGTGGTTGTAAAATGTAAGCCAGTTCATAATATTGGCAGAGGCTGTGGACCAGCTATGGTCACTTGAGGTCTGTCTGCCATTTGAATACAAGGATTGCACCAAATGACATATCAGACTTGCTAACAACCCTATTTAGCCCAAACCAGCCCATTTCTTTCACACCATGTAGACAAGCCCTGTATGTTTTCTTTTAGCAGACATTTAACTTCACGATCAAGCTTTTAATGAATGAATATAGTAAAACAGAGTGCTTGGTGCTTGATCCTTTAGCCTAATCAATAAGCTTAAAAAACACTTTGAACAGGTACAAGTGTTTTGATTCTGGGATCTGCTGCACAGAAGACATTTATTCACTACTTCATGAATGTTGCATCACCAGCTAAGTGAGAACTATGCACATAGAAAGAAACCTATTGTTCTGAAAGCAGCTTCTCTTATCCATGTGATAACATGTTGACCTGATGAAAGACATCTTCCATCTTCTGGAGCAGACCTGGGCAAAGTGCGGCCCGAGGGCCACATATGGCCAGCGAGCCGCTTCTGTCCGGCCCGCTGGACATCAAAATCATTCATAGCTTTTTGTCTACAGTTGATCAGTTGCTTATCTTTAACATACCGCAAAAAAATTCTTGAGTATTTGTTAAGATTAAGAAGTTTAAAATAAAAATAATCATAACATCACTGTTTCATTTTATTTTTAATTAAAGTTGGTTCGGCCCCCAAACACAGTTCAGATTTTTCATGTGGGCCCCCCTATAGAAATTAATTGCCCACCCCTGTTCTGAAGGGACTGGGTGGCTACTGTCTTCCATTGTTCCCTCCTAGTTTCAGCACAGGAAGGCTAGGTTGTAAAGACCTTTGCTTGACCAGATCAAGAGGTACCATGGTCTCCAAGCAACATCTTAGCATGTGAGGGTAAGTGCACATTTCCTTTTGCTATAACGTTTCATGCTGCATCCTTGTGAAACATCTCTTATAAAGCACCAGTAGTTTTCTGTCTTCACCAGGACCCAGATAACAGATGGGGGTTCGGGCTGGCTATGCCTCATCTTAATTGGTGTTCTTTGGATCAAACCAGACTGGACACTACTTTTGCAATCCGAAGCTCCCAGAATGCTGTCCTTTCCAGCATCACCATTCCATCAAAGCAGCATACCTAGGCATTGCATGTGAATCTTGTGCTTACCTCTCAATAACTAATCATAAAAGAAAAGCATGCTGGTTTCCAATATGCAGAGGTGACAAAAGCTCACCCAAGATTAAATAAGACATCTTTTATCATGCAAGAGAACTTTGTTTCTAATAATGTGCTAACTGTATCAACTAGTTTGACTCAATATTACAAGAAGCCTTAGAACTGGTCTGCAAGTACTGTAACTCAGGGCTTAACAAAATGCTCCATTAAGGCACACAGTTTAAGATCAGTTTCTTCTTTACTCTTGACTAGGCATATGCAGTTCTGATCAGAGCATGGAGAAACTGGATTAAAACTATTAGGAATCACCAGCCAGCATGGCCATAGCTAATAAGAATAATATTTCCAAGTTCTGGTCTTGATCCAGATCAGGACTACTGTGCATATACAGGAAAGGTTTCAATTCTAGCCACTCAAAATCCTCCTCCACAAATGGTGCCCATAAACTGAAATCTTCCCAGAATGCTGCTTTAAAAGGAAAATCCACCACGGGGGCTAAAAGAGGTCCCCCCCCCAATTCCTAGAAAGGAAGGGGATGTGGAGAGATTTAAATCTTTCCCCACTAGTGTACAATAGTCCCAGCATGGACCAGCACCATGAATTTGAATGTGAAATAAAAGTGGCATACAATGTATTTAATATGGTATGTAGTTTAGCCTTCACTCCTGAATCAGAGTTTCTTGCAATTGCACACAATTGCTGACACATGGTTTTACTCTGGCTTAATCTTTCAGTTATGCTTGCCCAATTACAGAAATTTTGCCAGTGGTGAGGAGCTATTTATAAGTCATGAGATCTGCAACTATTTCAGCCTGCAAGACCAGAGAGAACACACTACTGGCTGATGATCCACATGACATTTTGGTGCCAAAGAGAAAGAACAATCCTCAGTCCCGCCTCCTGTATTTTTCACTCGTTTCTCAGTTATGAAGCACATTATGGGAGCCAATCAGTTTGACAACAGTAATCCTTGACCGAGCTAATGTAAAAAAAGATGATAGGATTTCAATGGATGTGTCAATAAATCCAACATGTTAGAACTGAATATGTGTTTCACAGTTTTGTATCTATGTTATTTTCCGAATTTACCAATGTAAAATGAATTGGTTTGCCAAAACCTAGAATCCTATGCAGTGGTTTGGCAAAACCAAGTGTCCATTTTGTCCTCCGGCGTATGTGTAGGGCTGAAGGGCAAAATGGACTCAGGGTGCATTTAAACCCTGGACCCAACATCTCTGTGGGACAGACTGCCTTGTAGATAAAGTGGAGTTTCTCAGCACAGCAACTTGGCAAGCTTGGCTGAAGAGAGTCCTTCTCATACACTTGCAACATTTCTGAAATGTATTGTACAACCCAAAACATTTTAGTACCTTGTATTTGGCTTCAGGTTTTCAATAGGTAAATTAGTGCTTCCTGCAGTCTTGGTAGACCATCTGTTTTTTATAAAGTCATCATAAGATGCGCTATAAACTAAATATCCTGTTAAGAAAAGGAAATAACATAGTCATCATGAGATAATAAATTAAGGCTACAGTTTAAGGAAACACAAGAAGCATCAATGGAATGATATACAGTTGTAACATTAGAGAGTGCCACAAAGTTGTCATAGGGTCTTTTTAGTAGCTGCTCCCAGGCTCTGGAAATGCCTTTTGAAGGCAGTAGGTTGGCTTCTTCTTTGTTCTCTTTTTCTGACAGACAAATATAGTTTTTATTCTGCCAGGTAACATACAGTAGACTGTTACTGGAGGGGATTTTAACTGGATGGTGCTACCTTTTAAAAAAAATGTTGGCCAGAATCCTATTGCAGGTTTATGCTTGTGTATAGCACAAACTGTGATGACAAACTGCAGTTCAAAGTTACTGGTAGCATTCCCGGATGCTATAATGCAACCAGGACCTTGTCAAAGAGCAGCCATTTGATGCCAAGACTTACACATAAACATGAATAGGCAATAGCATTCTGGCCATTGTGTTCTTAATCACATTTCATTTTCATTTGGTTTTATATTTTAATTTACATTTTTATTTCAGTATGTATTTTATTTTTGGCAGCTTGTCAGAATAAAAATGTAATAAATACAGTACATCAACTAGTTCACAAACAGAGACACCCTTTGGACTGGGGTGTTCCAATTGGAACCGAATTTCTATCCTTCCCAGAAACACATAGAGAGATAGACAGACAGACAGACAGACTTGTCAGTCAGTTGTATTCAATAGTCCCATAAACAGAGGGATCTCTTTTGTGTTTGATCTTCGATCCATGATCTTGGAGATGGCTCCACTAATAGAAGACAAGTGAAGGCAATTTTTATCTATTTCCTTTCCTTCTTTCAGCCCTCTCCCACCACCTTATGTGCTGTTTGGGAGGGATGTCCATGCTTTCCTCTGGAAGAATTTCTCAGTGCTACAGAGAACAGCAGGAAACAGAAAAACACACACCATCTTCTCATCTGTTTGTGAAGCATTTGATTAGATTACTGTCATGAATCACACACTACAAGCCAAAGGATTATCATTAACAATGCTAACTTCAGTCTGTATTCAGATGGCAAAAGAATGTCAGCTTGCAAAACACACACCTAATTGTAACTTTTTTTCACCAGTACTGCTCCCCATACTTTTGTTTCTGCAGATATGGACAAAACTAAGCTCTGTGAAAATTCCCAAGTAAACACACCCTAACTCAACTTTTCAACACAAAAAAGTGATTATCGGATTTGTATGTGCTTTGCTTGTTCACATCAAGTAGCAACATTCACAAGTCACAGTAGACATTTTTTGCTATACATCTAGATTAACCTGTTCTGAGCACTGTTTTCATTCCATGCTGTATCTGGGTTACATTTTCTTTTCCTTGTCTGGCTCTTAGCCAACGCACCTGGTAGCTCTCCTTGAGATTTTGAAGAAGGTAGACATTATCAAGCCAGTAACCCAATCTTAATTTAGATCAATCTGTTTTAATTTTATAACAACAACCAGCAACCTTGGATTTATGGAGCAGAGAGGCCTTGTATGTTTGAGGAATCTTTACATTATATTAAGTTGCTGTCTGTACAAAACTAAAGAGATCAGGGATCTTCATTCAGCCTTTTAAACAATCCAAAAGTAGGAGCTGATCCACATATCCTGTTTGCACCTGTTTAAAAGGCATTTCCTCATTCACTGACTCAGATTATGACTTGTTTACATTTACATTTGCCTCACAATAAGCTCCATTCCAAATGGAATCAATTTAGAAGTCACGTGGTGTCACATGGTATTTGGATTGGTGTGTGCATCCTCTTGAGAAAACTTTTAATCCATTTTAAAGATTTGTTGCATCTTGTTTGAGGGGGCTACATTAGCTTTTAGAATCATTGCATTTGAGGCTTTGCCCTGTGCCCACCTGACCTGCTCTCATGCTGGCCAGTAGCTCCTGCTACTGTGGTGAGGTGAGGGAGGGAGAGGTAATTTGAATTACCTTCAATTTAATATTAAATCAGGTGAGGGAGCTTGGAGTGAGTCATTTTAGATGAGGAAAAGGGATCACCGTTCCAACCCACATCAGCATGAGCCATATATCTAATTTGGATGAGCCGTAAGACAGCACATTGTTTGCTACTGCATTCAGTTGCACTATAATAGCTATCAGATTTTAAGACCTTAATAACATGAAGAAGACAGCTTTGTCTGTCAAACACATGGTTCTAATACCATGACACCTCAAATCTACTAGGGGTCCTAAAAGTGTGTACTTCTGGATTACTTTATATGATTTGAAAAATTCACCCATCTATTTTAAATAATTTTGAGGAGTCAGTGCATTTGAAGTCAAAGGCTATCTCACTCTGCTGCTGTACAGTAGTCACCTCACAGTCATGTGGTGGACAAATTATTCCCTCAGGATTTCAGTCAATGCACACAGTTTTGATAGCTTCACAGCTTCCTTCAAGGCTACATTATAGCAAACTAAGGCAACCTGCATGAAGCAATCATTTTTTTTGTCTTCTGCAAAGATCTTGGGTTTCTCACGATTATTTCTTTCTTTCTAGACCATAAGTGAGCTTTGCCGTCCACTTTTCAAAATTGTCTTTGCAAATTTCCAGTGATACCTTTCTCTGAAATTTCCAATGACCAACCAACAAACCAACCAACCAACCAACCAACCAACCAACCAACCAACCTACCTACCTACCTACCTACCTACCCACCTACCCACCTACCCACCTACCTACCTACCTACCTACCTACCTACCTACCTACCTACCTACCTACCTACCTATTTATTTTTACCCTGCCTTTCTTTTTAAAAGGATCCAAGGTGGCTAGACCAAAGACTGGGAATTTCCACTCAGATTATAATGTACATTTTTATATTATTTTCATCTATTTTGTGGGATCTGTTGGCATACCCTTCCAAGTTAATGAACTCTTAGGATTTAATAGGTAAATTGTGTGTTTTCTCTGTGCAATTAATAACCACTAATTACAAACCCAGTGCAGCCTGTATAAGTAGCCCGTATTAGCAGTACCTGTGACCAGATCCCCATGTATCGGCTTAGCCCAGTCAAGAATCACAAAGGAATGGCAGCCTTCCACAGCTACAACAGTGATATTGTGAGGGACATTCTGAGGACGCATCTCTTTGTTCTTTAGATCGTTGGGTATGATTTCATCCAGGCTCTCTACTTGGAAGTGGTCTAACGCCTCTGTTAATGAGCATGGAGCTCCTGGATCTTTGTTTAGATAAGTCACATAAGGAGCTGAAAGAAAACACAGAAATACAACATTTGTTCTTAAAGTCTGATTTTTAAAACCCTGACATTGAGTGAAACAGCAAACCTAGATAAAGGATACATTTTTTTCAAACACAGCAGATTCAACATTAATTTTCTGGACTCAAGATTTATATATTTTCTTGCCATTTGCTAAAATTTTCACATCTGTAAATAGCTGCCATCTGGAAAGCTTCTAGACTGGCATTAAAATCCACATAAGCAAAGAATTTTGGAAACCAGGAGCATGACAAATATTCAATGCAATGTCACTATAGATTGAGGAAGGCACTAGATGAGAGAACAAGTCATTGGCACATGTTTGTTTACAAGGCTTAAAAGCAGTGCCTGATGCTTTAATGTTGTAAAACTAACATTAGCAATTGGTGGCCTTTGGCCTACATCTGGCCTCTTTAGTGACTGGCACAATCTATTGCATCCAGAAGCAAAGCAAAATAAAGTATATGCAGTGGGTGTGACCCTTGCAGTATTCCAACTTGGTAAACAGTAGTGGGAGCAAACACCAGGACTGGTCTAACATATTTTGCTGCCTGAGATAGAATAGCAGATCCACACACACACACTTATCCGCCATAAAAAGTAAAGAATAGTAAAAGTTGGCCAAATTACTTTGGCCTAAGTGACAGAAACTCTTAACAGTACCTCTTCCATTACAGGTAATAAAAATACAATAACTATTTAAACAACTAAAAAGTTGGTGCCCATTTGTTACACTCAAATTCTTTTGTCAGAAGTCACTGCCTCACTCATCCTTATACAGTGGTGCCTCGCTTTACGATTGCTCCGTTTAATGACAAAACCGCATTACGACAAACTTTTTGCAATCGCTTTTGCGCTTGCTTTCCGATGTTTCCTATGGGGGAATTTCGCTTTGCGATGATCAGTTCCCTGCTTCGGGAACCGATTCTTCACAAAACAATGATTTCCGGACAGCTGATTGGCGGTTTAAAAATGGCCGCTGGGTAAACAAATTGCCCCCCGCTGTTTTCTGGGACGGATTCCTCGCTGCACAGGCAGCAAAAATGGCCGCCCTATGGAGGATCATCATTGGACAGTGAGTTTCCAGCCCATCAGAACGCATTAAATAGGTTTAATGCATTTCTATGGGCTTTTTAATTTTGCTTTACGATGTTTTCGTTCTACAGTGATTTTGCTGGAACGAATTAACATCATAATGCGAGGCACCACTGTAGTAGAGACAGTACCTACCTAAATGTAGGCACTAATGCTAAATATGAGTCACAAGCTAAATATGAGTGTGGCATAGCAGCAAAAAAATCTAGGTTACATCAGCAGAAGTATGCTTCTTGGGCATAGTAGTCTTGCTGCCCTTTAGCTTATATAGAGGTTACCTCCTGAAGAACTACTGCACCCAGGAATCATTACAGCAGTTTTCTCCCAGGAAACATTACAGCAAGAAATGAGGCCCAGAATGCTATACAGTCTTGGAAACCTAGGCCTTGCTACAGGTGAGTGGAATACAAGTGTTTGTAGGTATGGGTCTGTGGGCTGAAACTCCCAGAATTCTGCATGGGGAATTCTTGCAGAACAAAACAAAGATGGAAGTCCTATCCCTAATGTTCACCTGAAAATATTAGCAAATGAATGATTGTTGTAGGTTTTTCGGGCTCTTTGGCTGTGTTCTGAAGGTTTTTCTTCCTAACATTTCACCAATCTCTGTGGCTGCATTTGAAGATGCCAGCCACAGAGACTGGTGGAAAAATTAGGAAGAAAAACCTTTGGAAATTACCAAACCAAATGAAAAACCTACAACCACCATCGGATCCCGGCTGTGAAAGCCTTCAAGAATGCATTAGTAGATGAACTCTGGCACAGCTATTTGACTATTATTCCTAGTATTTCTATTTTATAGAACCAAAGAAGTTCACTCAATCTAAACTCATAAATTAATGAGAATTTCATTATTGGAAAGGTCATCCACACATTGAAAGAGATTTTATTGTTAGTCATTGGAAATGTTTACAGTTTACAGATTTCGTCAGAAGGATATGACTTCCCCTCTTCCTTGAATGCCATTAAGTGTTTATAAAAACGATGGTTTTAATTTATCTCTTCAGGGAGTTATTCTCTAGCATATGCCATGTATTTATCTTTAGACACTCCAAGCACTTTCTATTCCCAAACAACTGAGAACCTCAGTCAGTGAGAGGAGAGGAAGGCTATTCAACAGCATGACAGAAATCAGCTGACACTGAGGCTAAGTCTAGACTGGCATAAAAGCTCTTTACTTGATTAAAGTCTAGACTGGACAGTCAATGGTGCCAAATGGGTATCTAAGGTCTGGAGTTGGAGATTTTACATCATTGGCTACCCCCAGTCACCCTTTCATCTGTCACCAGGAAGAACTAGAAGCTGCAGACTGTCCTCAGTCTGGGCAAGAGCAGCAGATCCTTGCTCACTCTAGAAACAGCACCTCAGAGGGGTGCCACTCAGTTTGACTGGAAAAATGCCACAATTCACAGCACCAGTAGGTGAATAGTGAAAAACAGGGCTGACAGCTGGGCATTTGGTGGGGAATTTCCAAGATGATAAGAGGAGAAAGATAAAAAGCCATTGGGCATCTTGTTAGCATTTGACCACAATACCTTTTCAGAAACATCCTTCTTCTGCTTCCTTACCATCCATTCTTTGGCTATCATTTGGTTGAATTCAACACCTCCAGGCCATCACTTTTAGACCTCTTATTTTTTGCTGCACTTGCTTTCTGTTTCCCTATTATTTGGTCACTCACTATGTTTTTCATGTCTTTTGTCAATTCCACTCCTTGATATGTTGAAGGCCAGCATTTCTACTCTCTCCCTGTGCTGACTCCCTCCCAGTCTTCTGATTGCCTCTCAACATGTGCTTTTTGCCTGTTTGTTTTCTGTTCCATGCCTCCTCCTCTGTCAACTTTCTCCGTTGCCCCTCTCTATTTGTGTTCATCAGCTCTCTCTTTCTTTACTCTCTTCATTTGTGTGGCAAAATCATGCTTAAGGTGGATGATGGTAATTTTTATTTCAGACTTCCAGAGGTGTGACAAACAGTATCTGACATCAACTACTTTTCTCAGCTTCATTCTGCTCATGTATTACATGTTAGAATATGAAAGGTAAAGGTAAAGGTTCCCCTTGACAATTTTTGTCCAGTCGTGTCCGACTCTAGGGGCGGTGCTCATCCCCGTTTCCAAGCCATAGAGCCAGCGTTTGTCCGAAGACAATCTTCCGTGGTCATATGGCCAGTGCGACTTAGACACGGAACGCTGTTACCTTCCCACCAAGGTGGTCCCTATTTATCTACTTGCATTTGCATGCTTTCGAACGGCTAGGTTGGCGGGAGCTGGGACGAGCGACGGGCGCTCACTCCGTCACATGGATTCGATCTTACGACTGCTTGGTCTTCTGACCCTGCAGCACAGGCTTCTGCGGTTTAGCCCATAGCGCCACCACGTCCCGTTAGAATATGAAGCCTGCTGCCAAATTGCTCTTAACAGCCATGGCCATCTTTGAGAATGGATGGTAGCCCTCAGGAACCTGCCCAGTACACACCCACAAAGCATTCTTTAAGCTTTATATAAAAGTCACTCCCTAGGGACAAACTGCACATGATGTTAAATAATTTTACAACTAATATAGAGGAATTTTGAAAAATATTAATTACATCAGCTTGTGTAGAATTAATTGAATCACAGTAGGCATGCTGACAGGATTTTCCTCCCCTGCTTGATCTTGAGGAGAGTCCTTCTCAGTAAGCTAGAATTTGCTTTGGGGCAGAATCTCCAGTTGGTGGATTAACTTTTGTACACAAAAACATATAAGTTTGATATCACTGTAACCACCATGAATTGGCTCCAATTCCAAAGGAATCCCGCGATTTGTACGTTAGAGGAAATATGTGGTTCAGAAGGGTTATCCAAAGCGTTCTAGAAGATAATTATGACTACAATATACAGATCCCAAGAATCCTTAGGACAGAGCCATGATAGCTGGTATGGAAGTCATATAACTATATAATGCAGATGCCCTTCTACTCTAATCCTGCTTATAATGACCCCCCTCTACATGCAATTTCCTTCTTTAAAAAGTCTCTATCAGATACAGACACGTGTAATTGGATGTAATTTAATTTCCCTGATTCTTACTTCACACAGGATAGAAGGATCATTTCATGTGATGAGAAACATATGAATTGCCTTTTTAAAATATGAGAACTTCTAACTGTCATCCCTAAAGTTTACTTCTTTCTCTGTTTCTCCAGTTACTTCTGGTGTTATACATCTTTCTTTTCCACACAGTGAGGTTTTTAAACAAACACAAGATTTGTACCTACTATGGCTGGAAAATGTATATCACTTTTTTTTCTTTGTAATCCTAAACTAAAAATTCCAAGTAGCCCTCAATTACACACTTCATACCTAGTTTTAAAGACACGAGTGCACACTGTATCATAAAGCAGGAAATTGGATGTCTGCAATTACATCAAAGTGCAAAGTGTCATGTACTTTTATCTCTGGGTCTTTGCCTTCCATCTCTCCTTTACAGGTTGGCTCCTATGAAACTGAACATTTAAATAAATTCAGTTTATTACTTTTCTGCCCCTCTCTTTAGGAAACCCTGGAACAGAGGTACAAAAATAGAAAGCCATTAATGTCACTTGTCTATATGAAGCTAAATCAGCTTCAACATGAAGGAGAATGACTTTCATCGCAGATAGTCATTTTTGTGGTCGGTTACTGCTTTGGTTTAAAAGAGGCTCTAATTTCACTTCACTCTGCCAGAGCAATATTTATTAGATGAGAATGGCAGTTAAAAAGAAGCTATGAATTAAGTACTTATGACACTGAAAATGGTTCACACTGGGAATCATAACTCAAGGTCTCTGTGATGTAAGCATAATAATTTGCCTAAGTGCCTCTTTAGTTCAACCATTACATTTTAAGGCTTCCACAAATGATTTTTTAATAAAAAACA